GGAAGATATTTATTATCCACATATTCTTTTAGTTAATCCTCACAACAGCTTATCCTCCTTTCATAGACAAGGATACTAAGGCTTGAGAGGTTAAGAACCAGCGATTTGCTAAAAATCAAATGTAAAAATAGGGAAAGGGATATTAAATAATGGAGGTAGGATTTGAACTCAGGTCTGTCTGACAGGATTGCCCCACTGGAGTTAAGAATAGCTTCACTTAAACAAGCAACTCTGCGGTTGGCCTATCACCATCAGCAGTACTGTGCTAAGTTCTGATTGGTTGATTAGCTTGTTGTCTGATTGGTCCAGTTGTCAGTCAGTGATGTACATTGCATAAATGCAGATTCTAGCAACCATTTTTTTTTCACTTAAGTAATATTTGCATTGTCCATTGTCCAGTACCTTATAGCTTTTGTTTTAAGTAAATATTTGACAATGTCCAACTGAAGGGATTCTATACATGAAATGCCCAACATATAATGTCTTCTTTAAAAGCCTGATGAAATGTGGCTTTGGTATGATTCTGTGTCATAGTTTATATAACCAGAACTTGTGTGACAAATAAGTAACATATTCACCTTGTAATGACTGAGTATTCTGAAATCTTCAATTAGGTAGAAAGAAGTTTTATTGCAATCTAGCTCCAAGTCTGTGGTCTGGCAAGGCCCTTGCATATGTGAGGTTCAGGGCACTGGGCCAGGGCTTCTTAACCCTTTATGATCCTTGCTGTCTTCTGCTAAACATAAAAATCTCATGTGCCAACCAAACCCCAAATTTGGAATATGGCTCTCTAGAGGGGCATAGTCTTGTCTTCTGATGATCTTCACCAGTTCAGAAGCTTAGTTTCTATTATTTTCATGCTCAAAAGAGTAGTGGTTTCCCCAAATATGAAATTATTGAAAACTGAACATGCCTTTTCAAACTAATACCTTCTCCCATTCTAAAAGGGTCATTCTTCATTTTAGAAGATTGCTGCTGCAAAGCCAATTCTGTTCCTTTCTTATCTCTCTCCTCCATTTCTCTACCCTCCAAACAGCTAGCATCATATTAAACATATATCATGTGCTAATACACACTACAAAATGTGATCTGGCTGATTTATAATCTAACCTGAGGCTTGCAAATAACTACAAGTAAGTCATTTGACCCGCTTCACTAAGTCTGGGCAAAAATATGGTTACATGTTTTTATTTCTTCAGTTAATTATTTGAGTACCCCCTTCTCTATCAGGAAATCATGTATCTCCTTTTTGAGGTTTCTCCATCCTTATAGTCTAAAAATCCTGAGGGTTTCCTCAGCTCACAGGGAGCCAAAAAGGTAACTGAGTTTGAGGGATCTACCACTGCTGTTGCTTCTTGCTGTCACTTGGTGTCACCTTGAAAACTGGTTCAGTGATGATAATATCTACCTCACAGAGGTGTTGTACAAATTAAATGAGCAAATACATTTAAAGTGCTTAGTATATCAATGGATACGTGGCACTAAGTAGGTACGCAAAGATTTAGCTATTACTTTATGTTATCAGGCCTCAGTTTTATGTAGGGTCTACACCAGAGGATCCCTGGAAGCATTTCAGCTTTGGCAAATGGTGAAGTTAGCTCAGTCCCTGCCCCTCCCAGAAGCCTCTATCTTACTCACATTGTCCTGAAGTTGATGTGGCTCTAGTATATGGAAGAGGCAGAACCTAAGGAGCATAGAATTTTTTATAAAGCAAGTGATTTATTCTGGCTCAGAGAAATAGTTTTTTTGTTTGTTTGTTTTGTTTTTTTAAATTGTAATCTGGGGTGTTTGGACTGACAAAATTTTGTCTCAGGTCACAGGGCTGGTTGGTAGTAGCTGGGCCTTAACCAAAGTCTTCCTGAATGCAGAGCTTGATCAACTCTAGAAGTATCCTGCTGTGCTTTAGAAAGCAATGTTCTGGAGAGCAAGGCTGTGGCTCATTTATTTTTGCATTCTCCCCATTCTGAGCACATTGCTTTATACATAACAAGAAATAGCTCTTCTTCATATCAACTGCTGTTAAAGATAGTCACCTCTGCACACATGCAAACACAAACACATTCACACAAGGCATTCTCTCTGCCTTCCATCTCTTTGTTTCTCCTTCTTTCCTACTTCTAGGCCATAATAATTAAGAACGAAATGCACAGTGCATAAAAACCTTTTCTTCCCCTTTGAGTAACTATTGTTGCTTTACAACTTTCCCTATCCCTGTTTTTATTAACAGATTTCATACCCTCAAGAACACACCGTTCTTGGAAAATGGCAACACTATCTCCTCTTTAATAAACTTTGTGACTAGCACATACAAGATCTCCAAATAGTAATTTATTTTAGGTCATGTGAAAAAGGTTCATTGTGCACATATATTAACAGGTAATGAATCATTAATATGAGCTAATCCCACTTGCCAGTCCATTTACCCAGTTGAGTTGTGTGCTAAAAGTCCATTCATAAGTCAGTTTGCGGCCGGGTGTGGTAGTGCATACCTGTAGTCCCAGCTACTTGGGAGGCTGAGGCAGGAGAATCACTCAAACCCAGGAGAGGGATGTGGCAGTGAGGTGACATCACACCACTGCACTCCAACCTGGGAGACAGAGTGAGACTCCGTCTCAAAAAAATAAATAAAGTAAATAAAAACGAGTCAGTTTGCTTGTTTCTATGGGTAACTATATTATCTATTATTATATCATATTATATATAATAGTGAATAATAATAGCAGTAAAAATAGCTACAGTTTATTAAGTACCAGGCATGTTACACATATTATCTCTGCTTTTCACAACAGCCTTGCAAGATGAATAGCCCATTTTACAGGTGAAACTGAGGTTCAAATAAGTTAAGGAACTTGCTTTTAAGCACACAAAGTCAAAAATATTTCCTGCCTCAAGTGTAGCTCCTTCTGAAGTGGTAGCGGTGGGCCACTCATGACTTTCCTCACCACATCTGTTGGGCCCCAGGGTGGGCGCCTGACCCAATGCCAGCCAATCCTGGTTAAGGCCTGATTTGAAAAGATGAATTTGGCCAATCAGATTCTCCCTTAGGAATTTGAATTAGGAAACATGGAAAGAGGCAATAAGTTGGTAGGAGGCTAGGGCTGAAAGGCACAATGGAAAGTTGTTAAATGAGTGTTGTGAAGAGAGGCTGAGGAGGCCATGATGGGCCGGCCTATTAGAGCTGAAGCTGTGAGGCAGTGGAAAGCCAGCAGTGGCTTTAATGTAGTGGAAGGAAATGGAGTCAATGGGGGTGGGACAGAAAGGATCATGTGCAGAGCCAGGCTGGTGCAGAGCACTCTCTCTGGGGTCACGTTCTGCCCTTTCCTCCTTTTCCAGTTTTAGTTCCAGGGTAGTCTTAAAAGAAATCCTCCATCCTTTGAGCTAATGTTAGTGAGTGTCAGTTCCCTTCAACCAGAAGAACCAAATTAAAATACATGGCCAGTAAGTGCTGGAGAGGGGATCTGAACCCTGGGTTTGTGGCTACAGAGTTTTTGTTCTTTTCACTGCACCCCTTTGCCACATTACAAATGCCACTGTGGTCTACCATAGCCTATGAGGTCACCATAATGTATCTGAAAAAGAACCAATAGTGAACCCAAGTTTCCTGAATCCTTGTCCCAAGTCTTGGTTTGCTTCCAGAGCCCTGAAGGAGAAAGTGAGGGCTAAGAAAATCTCAGATAACTGGCAGGCCTCCAGACAACATTGAGCTTCTAGGGTGGAAGGGACTGCAATGGGGAGAGGGGATGGGGATAGGGGAGGGATCAGTTCTCGTCAGTGCAGAGAATGGGGGCTCCCCAAGGGCAGGGATTATTGGTCTTATCCCTACTTCTATCCCCAGATTCCAAGATAGTGCCTGTCACATATTTGAATGAGTGAGCAAATGGATAAATAAATGGCAGAAGTGAGTCACAGCCCCTGTCCAAATGTATAGATCATTCTTCAGTCTAGTGTCCCCAGGTTAAGGAACACATCTTAACCTGTCTCCATCTCTAAGAAACCATTGATGCAGCGCTGTGAATAATGTTTACTGTGACTAATCCACTTTAGCTTTAAAAATTACAAAGATGATGTAGTGGTGACTGCGATCACAGCACAGTTCAAAGACTACGAATGGACAATTCTGGATTGCATTTGCCTTGTTTACAAAAACACCGCTTGCTTTGTCTGGAGAGAGTGAGGTTTTCATTTTAAGAGGCTGGCTAAAAAATGCAGGGCCACTTTCTGGGCAGGCTTCCAAGTGACTACATCTTTCTCACAGCGTTCCCCAGAGCCCCAGTCCGAGCTGCCTGGGGCGGGGCCTCTAGCCGCTGGTCACTGTTGAAGCTACCACAGTAGCAGTCATCTGCAGCCTGCCCGAATTACTGAGCTTTTAAGCCTTCCCAAGGCTCAGATAACAGCTTTGGCCTTTGCATTGAAAGAGACATCAGAGTCTGTCATTGGCCAAGCTGGTGTGTGTGAAATATAGGAGATGTCGCACCACGCTTCTGAGTATGGCATTCTTTCCAGCCGAGTCTCCTGGGTGTGGGTGAGTCTAAATGTTTGAAGACTGCCCTCGTTGGTTGTGAAATGTTCGAAGCTGGGCATTGTGACTTTCCAAGGGCATGACTTGGCATATTTCTTAACCCTAATGAGCCTCAGTTTCCTTTTTGTGAAATAGGGATAGTATTATCCTATGCTCTAGAAGGATAGAAGTATCTATTCATCACAGGGGGCTGTGAAACCTAAAAGAGATAACAGCAGAGTATCTCATCTAGTACCTGGCATACTATAGACACTGAAGAGCTTTTGTTATTTCTGAAGCATCCGTAAAAAACATACAAAAAGGTTTCAGTGATGATGCCCTATTTTTATGTCTAACAGTACAGTATTGCTCTGAAAGACTCAGCGGATATATTTGACTTCTTAATCACACCTGTGTAGCCAACAGGAATAAAACTTCAGAGCAAGTTAGTGCCAAAGGAAAGTTCGTCAGACTGTATTCCCTTTCTTTTTCTCCCTTCTAGACCCTGACCGCACCTGCCCCATTTGCTGATGAAACCAACTGCCAGTGTCGAGCACCCCATGAAAAACTGACCATTGCTCAGGCCCGCTTAGGAACACCAGGTGAGGCTGTACCTTTTTTTTCTCAAATGGGTCCTGTCTTGACATTTATAGTATCAGAAAGGGGCCGGGAGCGGTGGCTCATGCCTGTGATCCCAGCACTTTGGGTGACTGAGGTGGGTGGATCACCTTGAGGTCAGGAGTTCGAGACCAGCCTGGCCAACATGGTGAAACCCCATCTCTACTAAAAATACAAAAATTAGCCAGGTGTGGTGGCGCACGCCTGTAGTACCAGCTACTCACTTTGGGAGGCTGAGGTGGGAGGACCGCTTGAACCCGGGAGGTGGCGATTGCAGTGAGCCAAGATTGTGCCACTGCACTCCAGCCTGGGCGACAGAGCAAGACTCCATCTCAAAAGGAAAAAAAAAAAGTATCAGAAAGGCCCATCATTAAGGAGCAGCACTTGCTTTCAAGCAGAGAGTTGAACTTAGAGATTATAACACAGTGCAAGGGTAAAGAAGGGTAAACACTAGCAGTGATAAACCAGACCAACCAAAGGAGCCAAGAAAAAGATGCATCAGAATACAGGGAGTTTGAGCCCCGGCTTTATCACTTGTTAGTTCTACAGCCTTGGACAAGTCACTAGAAAGATCTCAATCTGTTTCCTCAAAACAGGGACAACAATACCTACCTCACAAGGTTTCTGTGATAACTAGATTCGTTGAAAGTTCCAAAGCATTTTTAAAACCATGAAGGCATATACAAACCTAAGCTACTATAATTATTACCATTCTTTAAAGTATGAATTTTTTAAAAAACATTTCAAGTGTGCCTTAAAAAGAGTGGGGTGTGCTATAGAAATTTGTTCATTCATTCATCCCTTTAGCATTGTGCCAGAGGATGGATAGGGAAGAGATTTGGAAAGAATTATAAGGTACCATCTGTTTTTCAGGAGACAAGACAACTAGATGTGAAATAAAAAACATTAATAGCATGTATGCAGGTGCTTAGGCGTTAAAACCTGCAACACAGATGATAATTGATTCTTAGAGAATGGCAGATTCATTTGGCCTAAGTGATCAGGCAAGACTTCCGGGAGGAAGCAGAACAGACCTTTTAAGAGAAGTAAGATTTGGACTCTGTAGGCAGAAGATGCAAAGGTATTGCAGGCAGGTAGAAGGGGAATAGTGAAGACCCAGAAATAGAGAGCTGTGTAGGAGTAAGTGAGTGTTGTTTTAGTTGGTTGGGATGGGGTGACAAACAAGACTAGTTGAACAGGTAAACTTTAAGCCATTTAACATGGCATAACTCGGCCGGGTGCGGTGGCTCACGCCTGTAATCCCAGCACTTTGGGAGACTGAGGCAGGCAGATCACTTGAGGTCAGGAGTTCCAGACCAGCCTGGCCAACATGGTGAAACCCCATCTCTACTAAAAATACAAAAATTAGCCAGGCGTGATGGCAGGCACCTGTAATCCCAGCTGCTTGGGAGGCAGAGGTGAGAGAATCACTTGAACCAAGAAGGTGGAGGTTGCAGTGAGCTGAGATCGCACCATTGCGCTCCAGCCTGGGTGACAGAGTGAGGCTCTGTCTCAAAAAATAATAATAAAATAAAATAAAAAGAACATGGCATAACTCAATGGTTTCTAGTTGCCGCTGCAAAAAAAACAAAAAAGCAAACAAACAAAAAAAACAAAAAAAAAAACCCCAACTTGAAAGAATCCATGGAATGAAGAACAGTTTGCCTAATAATAATAATGGATATTTATTAAGTACTTACAATGTACTAAGGTCTTTATATGTATCATGTCATTTCACTATCACAACTCTGTGTGATTAGTAGTTTTAGTATTTCACGGAGGAGGAAATGAAGGCTTAGAGAAGTTGTGAATCTGCACAAGGTCATTCACTAGTAAATGGCAGTGGTTCACACTGGAGCCTGCATTAGAATCTGCTGGAGGGCTTCTTAAAACCCAAATGGGGCCGGGCGCGGTGGCTCACGCCTGTAATCCCAGCACTTTGGGAGGCCGAGGCGGGCGGATCACAAGGTCAGGAGATCAAGACCACGGTGAAACCCCGTCTCTACTAAAAATACAAAAATGAGCCGGGCGCGGTGGCGGGCGCCTGTAGTCCCAGCTACTCGGGAGGCTGAGGCAGGAAAATGGTGTGAACCCAGGAGGCGGAGCTTTCAGTGAGCCAGGATCGCGCCACTGCACTCCAGCCTGGGCGACAGAGCGAGACTCCGTCTCAAAAAAAAAAAAAAAAAACCCAAATGGGTGGGCTCCACTCCTAGAGTTTCTGATTCGGTCCAACTAGGGTGGGGCCCAAGAAGTTACATCTCTAACAAGTTTCCAGGTGATGCTACTGCTCCAGGGATCACACTGGGAGAACCATTGGTAAGTGGTAAAGTTGGGATTTGGTCTCAAACCTATTTGTCTTAGAGCTTGACCTCTCAACCATGACACTGTGCTTCCTATAAGAATAGCCTTCAATAGAGTGAAGTGAGAAGCAGAGTAGGCAGAATTAGAAAGCTTTTGTGTGAGTTGCTTTTGAAAAAGGCAAAACAAGGTTGGGGAGGTAGTACAGAGCAGCCAAAGCTGTTGTTCCCAGGCTTCAGTGTACAAAGAATCACCTGGTAAGCTTGTTAAACAAGTAGATTTCCTGTTTCATTCCCTTCTTCCCAAATCTGGGATGGGCCCAGGCAAGGCATCTGCATTTTAAACAGACAGTCAGGGTGATTCTAAAGTTAGTGGTCTGGAGACCACACACAGAAATACCAACCAAGCAATATATCCAAGGGATGCCAAAGAAAAGTCCAGGTGGCCAGCCGGGCATGGTAGCTCATGCCTGTAACTCTAGTACTTTGGGAGGCCGAGGTGGGCAGATCACCTGAGGTCAGGAGTTAGAGACCAGCCTGGCCAACATGGTGAAACCTCGTCTCTACTAAAAATACAAAAAATTAGCCAGGCATGGTGGCACATGCCTGTAATCCCAGCTACTCAGGAGTCTGAGGCAGGAGAAGCGCTTGAACCCGGGAGGCAGAGGTTGCAGTGAGCCGAGATTGCACCACTGCACTCCAGCCTAGGCAACAGTGCAAGACTCCGTTTCAAAAAAAAAAAAAAAAAAAAAAGTCCAGGTGGTCATGAAGAAAACAGACTTGACCTAAAGTTAAAGGATGAGCATCAGGCCCAAACTGAAAGGGTCTCTACCTTTCTAGGGAAAGGAAAGGGAAGTAGAACTTACTATATATCTGTATATATCTGCTCAATGTGATGCTGTGTATTATTTGCAAAGACCATATGAGATAACTATTATTGTATCCTTTCTGAAGAGGAGGCAAAGGAGACTTACAGAACTGAAAAGTAACTTGTCAGATGTCCTAGCTGACTGGGTAGAGCTGGGATTTGACCCCCAAGTCCATTTCGCCTCAAACCCCTGCTTTGCCTACCGCAACAAACTCTCTTATGAATCATGGTCCACGGCAGGCCATGGAGCTAAGTGAAAACATGCTCAGACAGACAGTAGTTGTGATCTTCTGTAGTGGCAGGACTATGCCATGCTCACTACTGTTTTATCAGTATCTAGAGAAACACTTGTTGCATACTGTGTGCTCAATAAATATTTTGTGAGTGAAGAATGAAAATTTGGAGGCAAGCGGATCACCTGAAGTCAGGAGTTTGAGACCACCTTGGCCAACATGATGAAACCCTGTTTCTACTAAAAATATAAAATTAGCCAGGTGTGGTGGTGCATGTCTGTAGTCCCAGCTACTTGGGAGGCTGAGGCAGGAGAATTGCTTGAATCTGGGAGGCAGTGGTTGCAGTGAGCTGAGATCGAGCAGCTGTACTCTAGCCTGGGCAACAAGAATGAAACTCCATCTCAAAAAAAAAAAAAAAAGAAAGAAAGAAAGTTTGGGACAAGAGAAGTAGTTCTTCCTCTGGAAATAGAAGCAGAGAGAGTTTGTTCTGGTATTTTGAGCTGGTATCAAGCTAACTGGGTGAAATTGGGCACCTGTGCGTTGCCTACTGCCAAGCAGTTTAAGCAGTAATAAGATGGTGGTGTATTTTGAAATAACCGTGTGGTGGATTCTGTGGAATACAGGTCATTAGAGGGAGAGTGAGATGGAACAAAGATGAACTCCTGATCTTTAGAAGAGAAATTCTGCCCCCTAACCTTAGGTGATAACCCTGGGAAATTATATAAGAAAATCCGTGATGTTGATGAGTACCTAGCCAGGGTACTTCTGTTGGAAATTTCTTTATTTAGAACTTCAAATATCAGGCCGGGTGCAGTGGCTCATGCCTGTAATCCCAGCACTTTGGGAGGCCGACGCGAGCAGATCACTTGAGGTCAGGAGTTCAAGACCAGCCTGGCCAACATGGTGAAACCCTATGTCTACTAAAAATACAAAAATTAGCCTGGCGTGGTGGTGTGTTCCCAGGTGATGCTGCTGCTGCTGCTAGTCCTGGGACCACACTTTGAGTACCACTGCATAAGAGCAACTGTTGGCAGTAGTTAGAAGGAGTGGCAGGGAGATTATCCAATATCGTAATTGTTGGAGCATTGTACTGTTAGCAGAAAAGCTCAGAGAATTTTTAAGAATCTTGCTGTTTGATTACCATTTAAGAAAACAAGAAAAACGTTACTTTTTTGAAGGGTTTGGTCAAGAATTTCAAGAAGGGTTTGGTCAAGAAGGGTTTGCTTTCAAGAGTTTCAAGAAGGGTTTGGTTTCAAGAGTCGTAAGCAATTTACCTGTTTGTGGCACTGTCTTGAGCGTGCCCTCAAAAAAGACAAAACATAGCAGAATTTGGTATTTGATAATGCTCTTCAAGATTAAGTTTTTTGGTGTTTTTTTTTTCTTTTGTATTTTTAGTGGAGCTGCTTTCACCACGTTGACCAGGCTGGTCTTGAACTCCTGGCCTCAAGTGATCTGCCCATCTCAGCCTCCCAAAGTACTGGGATTACAGGCAGGAGCCACTGTGCCTGGCCTAGATTATAGCTATAACTGGACTCTCTTACCATCTCCTACACTAGCCATATTTTGTGACATAATATAATCGCCTA